AAAAAGGGGGGGAAAGGGGGGGGGGGGGGGTTGTTTGGCTTGGGTCTGCGGCGGTGTTGAGGGCGAGCGTGCGGCGTCCGAGTTCGCTTGGCAGCGGACAATCCGAGCGTGAGAAGCAGGTAGTGCATGAGAAAAACCGCCCGCCACAGCGGTGCCCCAGCAGCAGCACCACAAAGACAGCCGGGGTGCATGCAGCTTCCAACCGCGTTGCCGCTCGCCTGCAGATAGGGTTCCAAGACGTCAAAAGAGAGAAGAAAAAAAAAAAGGTACACAGCAACCGCCAGGCGACAGAGTGGGAGTCCGTCGGAGGGAATTGGAATTTCTTCCCACCCTTGCGCCCGCGCGTCGCCACTCTGCACCGGAGCTGTCGGCGTCTGTCAGTTGGGTGCTATCACAGGGAAAAACTCCGGCGTCGATGCCTCCCCCCTTCGCAGACGCACGTTTCCGACGAAACCTGCAGCCAAACCTGCAGCCTACGATTTCACACACCGTCGCCCTTGCTGCCACGTCGCCCTGATCGAGAGTGCATTCCTCGTACTCGGCATCCACATCACATCCGAACCGACAAGGTGGCTTGGGGTAAACGAAAAAATGATCCGGACCTGTTGGAGATAAGAAAAGTGAGCCAAGCTTGGGTCGTGACTGAGGGTGGATACGCGCGAGGTAAGCTCGCGAGAGAGCCTGGCCAAGATGAATTTTCCAACCCGGCGCCTTGTGAAAAAAGGGCAACCGTGTATTTGGTTCACGTCAGATGGGTCCAAGTCGGAAACGTCAGACTGGGAATCAAGCACGAGCCTTAATCCACCACCAATCGCACGGCTAAGCTTGTTAGGCGAGACAGCCCTTTTTTTTTGTCGCCGCGACGGTGAGACGCAGCAGCTCGATTTTGACGCTCCGATCAGAACGGACCCCTCTTTGGGCAGAGAAGCCTTGGACGCCTGGCGCCGCTTTCTCGATCGTCTGACAAGTCGGAAGGACGTCCGACAAATGCTCGCCACGTTGTTGCGTCCACACACTGCACCAACGTCACATTGCACGTTGCCGTTTCCACCTCCATCGGAGTCCCCACGCCATCGCACGCGCGCCTGTCTTCATGCCGCCATCGGTCTCCTCGGCAGCGTTGACAGGCTCGCTCAGACTGTCACCCCTTTTGAATGCACGTTGTCGGCTCGCGATCTCGAACCTCATCGACAGCCTGCTGTTGTTGCCGGCGATCAATGCTCACGGTCGGCATGAAGCCACGCACGACGAGCTGGGATCCATACGAATCGGCATGGACCCCTTGGCAAAAAGCCACGATCCTGACGAGCGTCCAAGATCCGACTGATAACGACTACGTTTCCTCCGCGCCTCTTGACACCGCCGCTGCCCGATAAAGCGTCGGATCGATCTCGGTGTGAATATCTCGTCCGGTGTTGAAAGGCGGCCTAACATCGGGTAGATTATTGAGGCTTGTCAACTTGCGCCATCCTTTCAACCATGCTCAAAGTCGTGCCTGGGCGGCAGCACAACGCACCACATCGCTACTTGGTAATGACAGTTTCTGATGCAAGAGAAAAGAACAGAAATGATAGAAGCTTGCGATGAAAACAAAAGAGAGCGCAGTCAGGAAGGGCGGAGGAAGGAGGTCGGAGGTTGGAGATCCGCACGGTCCCCTTGGGGATGCAGAGGCGTGCAGCGGAATTGAGTGTGGCTGGAGCCTGGAGATCTTGCTTGTGCCAAGTCTGACAGGCGTCACTTGAAGGCTCTTACGAGCTCGATCCCAGGTCGATGGGTCGGTCGTACCTGTAGCACATTCTTCCGCCCCACTTACCGCTCGTATGGTCGAGCAGATCCTCGACAGCCACACTATCCGCCAGCGGGGCAAAGTTGATCATGTCCGTCCGCTTGGCATTCCACGGCGGATGGGCCCCATCCTTCTGCTGCTTCTTGGGTCCATGGAACGCCCTCTTGTTCTTCGGATTCATGTCCTGCCACGAACTGAACAGGTTGTCGATGTGACCGTGGTGGGGGTGGAATACGGGATCGTTGACCGACGTAGACAGCCAGGCTAGATTGCCGCCGGCGCTCGTGTGCATTGCCAAGTGCAAAGAGATCTCGACGGCCGAGGAAAAGTCAAAGAAGCTTCCGTCATTGTGCGTCAACGCCAGACCTTTGAGGAAGCTTTCGCTGATAAACGTGGTACAGTTGGATCCAAAGTGCTCGTTCGGAAGCTTGACGTCCATATTGTTGAACTGGCGACACAGCTTGTGCTTGAACGGCACGTTGAACCAGTGATCCGCAAGCGCTCCATCCGTCACTTCCCTACCGGTCTTCCAGGGACAATTGGTGTTGTTCCCCTGTCCGTTGCTGCCAAGTCCGTATGCTGGGTTGCCGTCAAAGATCGCATTTGTACTAGGGTCCTCGGCCGTCAAGGTCCAGTCGACCCATGGCAGTCCAAGCTGAAACCCGCACTCCTGCAGATCCCGCTCGACAATCGCCGAGAAGCCGCGATGAAACGGCAAAAACATGGCGGAAAAGTGGACGTACTTGACCATACGGATGTGCAGGAGCGTCCAGTCGTCGGCAGCGTTCCAACCGGGGTCCGACTTGAAGCGCGACGGCTTGGAGCGTACGCATTTGAAGGCGTTGGCAAACTGCGTCTTTTCCTCCACCGTCATGGTCGAATACTCCTTGCGGGTCCAGATCTTGGTGCACGTGCTGGTCGTTGTAGTGTCGGAGGCGTTCTGGCCCAGGAGAGGCATGCCGGCCGAGCCTTTGGCCTGCTCGAGGGCAATGGCGACGGCGGCCTCACCCGCAGACATTTCGCTGCCAGGTGAGGCACCAGTGGAGCCAGCGGCAGCGGCGTTAGCGGCAGCCGGGGCAGCGACAGAAGAGCCGTCCGTAGCAGGAGCATCCGGGGTAGCAGGGGCAGCAGGGTTGACGGGGTTGGCGGGGTCGGCAGGTGCGGCAGGGGCACCTGAAGGTGGCGTGTCCATTTGCGCATCGAACGCAAAGTCAGAAGCGGCACCAAAGTCGGCCGCAGGAGCAGCGACCGCGGCGGCGGCGCCGACGCCTCCAGCCTTGATTGACGTTCCGTCGAAGGTGCCCGACACGGGCTTGCGCGCGCCTGTACCAATGGATCCGGCTAGGCTTGAACCCGAACCACCCGCGCGTTGCGGGCTAGCCGCCGGAGCCGAAGCAGGGGCGGTAGCGGGGGCACCTAGATTCTCCTGCTTGACGCAGTGCATGAGCTTGACGCGGTCGGAAGCGATGCTGTCCAGAGCGGCATCGGAAGCCACGGTCGGATTCCAAGAGTCGGCGACGTTGGCGTCGAGCTTAAAGCCCCACGTGGCGGGGGTGAGTGTCAGCCACACTCCGTCGCTGTGGTGCGGAGCGGCCTGAACGAGCGGAGTGATCTTGGTGCGATCAGCACGAGCTACGGGTCCTGAACCCAGACACGTCAGCAGCGCAGTCGTCTTGGCTGCAGCATTGACCGGCTGCGACTTGACCGGCTGAACGGCCTGAACGGGCTGGACGGGCTGTGCAGGGTGGTTGGGCTGGAGCGGCTGGACGAGCGACATGCGCTTGGAATGACGGTGCTTGTGGCTCCTGTCTGCCAACACCGGCGAGAGCACAAGTAGCGTAGCTAGGACGGCTAGCCCAGTACGCAACATCATCGTATTCAAGGCCACCGCAAGGGAGAAGGAGCAAGAGAGTGTAGCTATGGCAAGGGGATAAACGAGAGTGAGTGTGGTTGGAAGGAAAGACGAGCGAGAGAAGAGTTGTCGAGTGGTGATGAAGGGCGAGGAGAGTGAACGGAGCTGGGACCCCCTGTGGCATGCATATGAAGTCGTAGGTGGGGGGAGGATCTGCCGTCGGTCCCCACCGCACACGCGCGTGTTGGCGTTCAATAAGCACCGTCCGCCACATGAAAGCCCTGCGTGCTAGTTCCCCCCTCATCGCGCCGTACTATGACCCAACCCGAGCGGTACAATCATCTGCACTCATGATCCATCTGCGCGAGTCTGGTATTCCCGCCCTTGTCTGCGTCGGCAAAGAATGCGGGTGGGTGCATTGGTGCCGCCCACGCTGCACAATGCAGGGAGGAGCTCATCCATCTGCCGCTGTCCGCACATCATCATGCCGACCAAGACAATGGGTGCAAAGAATTGCATTCGAGCATCAGACGCGCTGCCAGCGATGTTCGAGCTCCATAATGCTGACTTCCTGTCCTGCCTACCCCATCCAAAAGCACAACAATCAGCCACCAGAACTCGCTAGCACAAGTGACAGGGAACGTACCTTTTCGTCATAGTCCATCCACTCGCCGTCTTCGAACTCGACGCTGTCGAACACCGTGTTGGACTCGGTGCCCTTGCACTTCCACGTCCCCTGCGTGCCGCATGACAAGCCAAAGGTCAGCACAAAGTCTCAGCAAAGGCAGGGAAAGGGGCGGGCTGCTTACGGTGGGTTCGAAACCGACTGGTTCCAGGCCTCGGAAGTCGAGCGTGCAGAGCGTGTGGAAGTTGGCGCCGGACTCTGCATCTGCCTCGACAGGCTGCCAGAGTGGGTTCTTTGCTGTGGGCTCGTCGAACTCTGCTCGTATCAGCGCCAGATGTCAGCCATCGCTTTCCGTCTTCCTTCTTGCAGCTGTATCGTTGACTTACTGGCTGAGCTCTCCTTCTTGCAGAACTGTTCGTTCAAGCGAAAGCTCGATCAGTCAACTGTCAGACATCGAGGCTAAAGGGGAGGGCAGCTTACGTTGCAACTCATCACGAGGTTGGCGGAGCCGCGTGCGCCCTTGGTCATCTCGTGCTCGTCGCTGGGCGTGATGCCGACGAGTTTGGAGTGCTCTTCGTGGCACGAGGTGCACTTGAGCTTGAGCATGAGCGTGTGGTCCTCGTCAGCGGGCGCCAGACCCGTTACGTTGGTGTACTGCGCCTTGAGCTGCAGTGCGAGACGCTGAGCACGAAAAGCAACACGGTCGCATCAGCATCGCGTGTCACAAGGTCGATTCGACGATGTTCTGAGAGCATTACTTACGGGCATCTTGTCGGGCTAGTGTGAGAGAAGATGAGAAGATGCGGGATGGATGAGGTCAAGTTGGACCGAGCGCCGAGTATGAGGAGGAAAAGAGGCTCCGCACGACATCCGCATTTTCCTCGCCCAGCTCCGAGTTCCGAGGCGTCCGCTGCAGCCCTTCAAGTAACGCCGAGCTTGCTCAAAGGACGTCCCAAGCTGAAGCCAAAGAGCAACGGCCGAGATTACACTTGTCCATGCACGTTCACTCTCACACAACCGTCTCTGCACCAGAATACGATCTTTTCGTTTGACCCTTTCATTTCATGCACCGCCAGAACTACGAGGCATTGTTCTGCGCCTGCCGAGGAAGGTCAAAGATGTTGCTGAGAGACCTCCTCATTCTTGTCCCACCTCGTGGCTGCTCGTGCGAGTGTTCTCCATCGCTCTGTATCTCCGCTCCAACCTCAGCATTGCGAGCTGATGAGATTCGAATCGGGCGGAGCAGGGCTGCCTTCTTCCGGACCAGCCTGGGAGGCGGCATCTCTCCTGGCTTGGGTATCGCGCTTGAAGATGCTGATCGGGGAGAGGGGAGGCCAGACGCTGCAAGACATAGCAGACGCATGGATCCAGGCGACTCGAGCCGCTGTGCTAGCTGGGCCCACCCCGCAATCCCCCGTCCCTCCAATTCTTCCAATGCGTTCGAAGCGGTCGGAAGAGGACTGGATCGACTGCGCACCATATTCCACGCCAACCCTGTGTCCTCTTGTCTTGCCACCGGCGATGCTACCGATAGAAAGCTTTGCGACGCAGTAAGTGGGAGCGGTCGGGAGTGAGGTACAGGCCAATTGTCAAGTGGCTGGAGGGACGAATCACTGCCGCACGATGCCGATCCAAGCATGGTGAGGCCGGATGATGCTGGTGAAGTACCGCCTGGAGGAGCCTCGGGAGCAGCATGTAGCGCAGAGCCGCGTCGACCAAGTTCACCATCCACAGCCAGGTCGGTACGCTCGACCCAGTGCTCGTAGAACAGCCCAGGTAGTGGAGAGCTGTCGACGGGAGGTGAGAATGCCTCCTCGCGTCGCGCAGGCTCCGTATCCACTGCTTCTGGGTAGCTGCCCGTCCCAGGTTCGTCGTTCTCCCTCTGCGGATGGGTGATAGGCCGCGTGTCATGGAAAACACGCTGCTGGAGCTGGTGCATGGCTTCCTGCCAAACGTCCTGCCTCTGTCCCGCAGCCGCTCCGACCCGACGCCCTTCGGTTTGCCAGCATGCGGGCTGGAAAGAGTGTGCTCTCGTGCGGCCTTGAAATGTCGTCACTGTGGGTGTGATCTCGCAATGCTCCGCACCGGCACTCTCTCTCGGCTCGAGCAGCAAGACGTGCGGGAGCTGTCGAACCGTGTCGGCATCATGTGCCGTGCTGAGATCTGTATCACCCGCCCTCCATCCGGTCAATGGCACCATGGAGCTATATGCCCTACGTCGACTCAGCACCGAAGGTCGCGATGCAACAACAGCCGAAATAGCAGGTCTTGAGCCTTCTGTACGAGGCTCGGGGACAAGGATTCCCAGAGGGCTGAAATCGAAGACAGACGATGCCTCGGACGAGATGGAAACATTACGTCCACTGCTGAGCTCGGTGTGTGTTTGGTCGGGCTCTTTCTCGCGCGTGAGCTTTTCTCCAAGATTAGAGAGCTGCGTCCAGAAACGTCGCCCCACTTCAAGGTCTGCATCCGAGTCCGTGTCCGAATCATCGGCATCCTCGGCATCAGTGGGACGGTTGTGGCTCTGCATGCTGTACAGGCTCGTGGACCGAGTCGAGTGCGTGGACAACGACGTGCCGTGCGAAGGGCAGCTCTGGTGGCTCGAACCGCGAGATGACTGCCGATATCCTCGGCCCGAACTTAGCCTTTGCTGCTCCGAGTCTATCGCTATCCTTCCGAGTTCTTCTTGGTCTCGAGCGCCTGTAGTACCGCTTGGTGCTTTGCTCTTGCTCTTTGGACTTGGAGGATCCGCATACTGCGTCTGTATCGCCTCGCCCTCAGTGACGAGAGGATGAGCAGCAGCAAGCGATAGTGAGCGCAGCTTGTTCTCCGCCGATCCAAGTCGGGCATAGCCACGGTGGGTGATGCTGTTGGAGGCAAAGTCTCGTGGCTTCATCGCTGCGCCAAGCGAGGGTCTGTCGGTGGGAAAGAGCATCGCGCGCGGTGAGTATGGCAGTGGACTCTTTCGGACGGGCGTCCTTGGGTGCCCGGGGTAGCTTCGGCTCGCAGCCATCCCGGTGGATCTTGCCGCAGTGCCAGCATTCGCAAGCGACACGGTCATCTCCGACTCGCGCCGAGTCCAGCTTCGACTGTCCGACGCCTCGGCATCGGGTTTGTCCAGGAATGTGCGCTTTGAGGCAGCCCGTGGCACAGTCTGAGCCTCGCCGAGAGTTTGCTTGGTCAAAGGCGAAGGCGTGGTTGCGGGAAGGAGGGTGTATCGGACCAAGGCGACGATTGGTAGCCCCGTCTCGCGCGCAAGCAAGGGAAGTGGCGCAGCCTTGTTCCCCCCGTGTGTCCCTACCTCGTGCTCATCCAACACAGGACTGGTAGCGAGGTACTGCCTGAAGATGATGGGCCAGGTCGGCGGTGTAAGCCGAGCAAGGCTGGAATCGAGAAACGAGACCGCGCTGAGGTCGAGGAAGCATTCCACCGAGCTGTCTCTCGCGTACCTGCTGTTTGGATTGCCGTGCGTGCCTGACGCAAGCTGTTTGGTGAGATGGTGCTTGAGCAGCTTGACTTGCTCTTCCATGGACTCGAGCAGAGGTAGAAGAAACGTTGCTTCGCTCGTTGGCGTTGAGGAAGGGCCGTCCTTTGAGGTCGGCGTGAAAAGAATTGTCCAAGCTGAGGTAGCGGTGCAGACTGGCTCTTCTGGCGATGCTTGGAGATCTTGCCTCTCGCCCTCAATCTCCTGTCTGGTAGTGTTGGCTGCCCGAAAGGGAGCATGAACACGTTCCGGAGAAGAGCTGCTGGACTGCGATGCTCCTAGTTGACCTACGAGATCGCTGTCTAGATGGTTGAATCGATGCCCAAAGGCGTGATCTGCAAACGGAGTACCGAACGAGATGGACGGATGCGGCACCTGCTGTGCTGGTTCGGTAACGAGTTCGGCGATGGAAGCGATCGAGGTGGCGCGGGACGACGAGGAGAGAAACGGCTTTGGTTCCGAGAGGCCTCTGCTTGTCCTTGGACGAGCCGGCAGCGCAGGCTCTTGTGCCTGAGCCTCGTGCAACGGCGATGGTGGTCGGGCATCCGATGCGACCCTGGGGAAACGATAGACTGAGCCCGAGCCGAGCGAGTCGAGCGAGGGTTGCGAGGGGTGGAAGGACGTTGGGGAAGATGAGCGTTCCGAGTCGTGTTGCAAGCTGTGGGTGCGGAGCCATGCTTGGGAGCGGGCGAGGGACGATCTCGACGCCGAAGAGAGTTCTTCGTCTTGGTGCAGTCGCTGTAGCGAGGCATCGAGGCTGAGCTCGGGAAGTGCAGGCGACGAGAAAGCGGCGCTGGAAGCCGGCGAGCTTTTTGGCGATACACGGTAGGGCCGCATCATTCCGAGCGTGGTCTGGTTAGGTGGTGTCCTGTGCAGGATGAAAGTATGCTTGGCTTCGGCCACAAGGAGAAAGCACGACGGTTGAGAGGGCGACGCATTCGATTCTGAGACAAAGATGTCTGGAGGTAGATATATGCTGGCGAAGTCTCAAGGCGGGTGTGGATTGTGCACCAGCTGCGTACCAGCTGCGAGGTCAGTGGCTAAGAGCGATATGCATTGCGACGATCAACCAGTCAAAGAGAGCTTATGTCGCAGTCGGGATCGACGACAACTCCAGACGGAAGCGAGGGCGTTGACGTGATGTCGACTGTGCAGCTTGGGCGTGGCTCGGATCTGTCGCAGGCGCACGGAAGCGAAGTCGGGCGTAGAGGCGTGCACGCCTTCGGGATGATCGGGGGCGGGCGGCGTCGTGTTCTTTCTCTGGCGCAGAACGTGGCATGCGATAGCCGAGGGCGAGCCGAGGCGCCAAAGGATCGACGAGGAGGCAAAGAGATCCAGCAAGCGGGCTCGGAGCGGAACAGAGCTGAAGGGGATAAGAGGGTGAGAGAGGGGGGGAGGGGGGAGGGAAAGGATGCGGATAGCGGGT